GGGATCGCTTTGATGATACATTAAATGTAATTTGCTGCACGAGCAAGTGTAATTACCTTTATGCATTTTGATATGTATGGGTGAATGAACCTTTATATCAACATGCTATTTTGCATGATATCACATAACATCAATAGCCTTTAATAGTCTACTGCTGGACATCGACCTCTCCTTAGAAAGGAGGTTTTGGCCTACTATACCGCTCTGGCCATACGGGTTGGGTATAGGGTTTGTGTTAATTTTTCCAGTGCTATTGTCCTGCATTGTTTTCTCTTAGTCGGCTCTTAAGATACCCACGTGATTATAGGGGTGGTCACACTCCGTATTCTTGCATGACATACTAACCTATAAAACAAACCTATCGTGATAGTCATTTATTATTGCAACAATTTGATTTGTTCTTGTTGAAGAGTGTAGTAGAGTAACAGAAAACAGTCAGCATAGTGGTATCCATATGTATACCAACTATGCGCGTGTGGGTTGTTGTTAAATAGCCTTAATTAACGTTGTTGTGTATCCATCACTTCACCGGGTGTTTCGGAGTACGTCGGACTGGTACCAAATTAAACCAGGTTTTAGTTGAAACGAGTTTCGTCATCGAGACACATTATACGGACCTCAGGTGTACCCTAGAAAGAAAATCACTGTGAACCTTGACAGAACCCGGTGATCAGCTGTTGAACAAAGCGACCCGTCGGTGTGGTGTGTATTTGCCCCTCTGATTGAGATGCGCGTGGAACGCGTCATATTTCTGCGGGCGAGACTCAGCTCTGTCCGTCGGCCCCAGCAAGGTCCTTCTCGAAGCCGACGACTGTTTTGGGGAGACCCATAAACTTTTTGAGATCTGAATAATTACTAATTATAGTGAAACTAATTAACATAGCAAAGGTTGTAGAGTTTTACAGACATCCGAATCCAAAAAATCCAAAGTCTTAATTATATTTCACGTATGTAAGTAAGCATGTAAGAATTTTATTGTACCTTGAACTTTAAAAGGTCTTGTTTAAAGTATTTGCCCGGATCACTTCAACTTGTGAATGGTAACACCATTACTGTTGAACTTTCAGATTAAATGTAACCAGTGTGTCCATAAAATGGTTGCGTAAATAAAATGCATTGAGATTCATAAATATGTTCATAAACCATTTACGCTATATTAAATTATATTTCAATTTGTTTATACTATAATTTTAAAGTTGAAAATCGTTTGGCACAATACTTATCTCATTTCAAAAAAGCAGTACTGACTACTTTTCATCAACAGCCATTACTAGTCCACTGCTGGACATAGGCCTCTCCTTAGAAAGGACGGTTTGGCCTATACCACGCTGGCCAGATGGGTTGGTATAGGGTTTGTTTCAAGTTTTCCTTTTCTTTGCAGTGCTGTTATCCTGCGTAGTTTGTTCCCTTAGTCGCCTCTTACGACACCCACTGGATGAATAGGGTGGTGACATTCCGTATTCTTAATTCGTCCACACACAGATTAATTAATTTATTGACTGACTACTTTTAATTAATCTAAAAACAAACTTAGAATAAATGTTATAAATAGGTTATTAATGATAAATATTATAGTAATATTTTAACCCATTCTTTCAGCTTTAATAGAAAATGCCTGCTGAGCCTAATTGTAACATCCTACAATTACAAAAGTATTTGGTTAAGAAGTAACGGTTAAGAGTTCTTTAAAAAATAAATCTGACTAAGAAAATTTCTTGACACATTTTAATTTATAAAATAGGCATCATCTTAGTATGAATATCAAACTCATCACAAGAAAAATGTATGTTCTTTTGAGTGTATTCACGTACAAACGATTATCCTTGGATTGGTTATGTGAATAGATTTTCAGATGTTGATAAACAACGAATCTATACTTCGCCCATTTTGAGTAGTCTTCAAAGAAGAATGATATACGAGTTCTTATTTGTATTGTACACAACTATTTCGCCGACTGTAAACAAGGCAAACATAAATTAACTTTAACTTGAATTAGTAAAAAATTATAAATAGTTATTATATTTATTTAATTGCTTAATGCTTGAATAAATACTTCAAAAATCTTGTCTAACGCTGTGTCATCCTGACGATCAAGGATCTTAATATATTTTATATTAAATATTTACCTCTACACTAGATCGAGCATAGTCCCAAAAGCCGAAGTCCACAGAAAAAAAACTTCCATATTAATAATGTACTGTATATTTCAATATTTACTTACTTAAAACAAATAGAAAATATAGGAGTCACGGTGTCTTAAATATAAGTATTCTCTTAAAACGACATCTAAAATACCTTTGAACGAGATTCAAACTAGATTATACATACCAAAATAGATAGAATAAACCACAACCACCTGTGTTTTCATAATTGGTAAGAGTGCTTCTCGCCGATAAACAAATATGTTTAGCGAGTTTAAAAAGTTAGTTATCACAGCCTTATGACAAATGAATTAAAAAACCAAACTAACTAAAAGACATGATTTAATTATGAATTTAAAAGTGAATAAAACTCATTTACCGCCTCATAGCTGAAACTCACTCAAATATCTTTATTTCATTATATTTATTGAATTGTTTCAAATCGTCTTTTATATATACTCAAGTCTTTTTTATAAGTCATAGATCAACACACACAATAGCAACAATCTCGGTTTTGTCAAATAGTAAGCTAAATAAATTTAATAAAAATTAAACTTCTACAAAATCTATGATATGACTGTGCCGATCTATAACCGCCCGTTTCCAAGGGTTGAGCTTTATGAGAAGAAAGGGCAAACAAACTCATGGCCACTCTTTTGCGATTTGCAGATAGATACAATGGCATAATTAAATATACCTTAACATTGTTTTGATGTGTGCCAGTATGTACGTTACTAAGAACTAAAAGGTAAAAAGACAATGAAGAGAAAACAAAGCTTCATTATCAGACCATTTGTTATAAAGCTATAACAAATGGTTATGGTATGGTATGGTAAACTGTTTGGCTTTTGTGAAAATAATCATTTGAGCCATAACTTGAAGAGTGTACTAGTAGACACTGAAGAGTTTTAATACCCATCTGGGCCATCGCCAGTTCAGCTCCAACATGCCAAATTTTAGTTTTATCTTACTAATTAACACCTATGTTTGTGCATTGATTTAGGTGCGACAATTACATGCAGATTAAAATAGCCTTCTATATTTATTTGTATACATTATTAGTTAGTTAAACCTTTTTTTTTTCGTGCGGAAATCCCCTCGAATGGTCGGTGGCATGTCGGACACGAACCGACTAAAACCGCACGCTGTCTCAGGTACTAATAGCTGGGGAACCAGGTATACCCTAGAAAGGAAGTCCCTGGTGCCCCGACATACCTCGGGCCATCTACAGTTAGTTAAACCTAAAGCTAATAAAACTGTGTCAATAAAATTCAGAAATAAACACATGAAAATTACTGTAAGAAAATATATAAAGGAAAATACAACATTTTTTCAAAAATGAATCGAATTCTTCAAAACTGAAACATATATACGATTTATTTATGTGTGATAACCACATTTCATCATAAAGTTGTAAAGTATATTTATCCAACTGTTAGCGTCAATATCCTGCAAATAATTTTAATGACGTTTCTCAAACTAATCAATTACGCACTCAAGCGTATTTGATGTACCCATTTTGAAATCCACGCTGTTTTTTTTACCTTGATTAACAGACTACTTGACTACCTAGATTAACAGTTTTGGTATAATGACATAGTTTTAATGTGGAATTTAGGATAACTTTTACCAATTTTAAAATTAATTTCAACAAAAGGTTACATACGCCAATTAATATTGATTGTAAAATAACAGTGCTGATCTGAATAGTTACTATATTTTTTGAACGGTACAGATTTAAGATTATATATGTTAGGTATAACATAACAATGTATCTAGATTATGCCACTAGTAAGATTAGTTATTGTAAGAAGCTGAATAGGCAATCTACATAAATTTATGCAACAATGGGTCAGATATTCGTATAAAATTAAAACTAACCAATTATTGTGCTTGTATTGCACTTGCGAGTATAAACGTTTAGTGCAGCAATAATTCTATTGTGAAATGTTATACGGATAGACACTCATCAGACAAATTGCGTGTAAACAAAATACATACCTAAATCTTAATCAGATATAAGACTGAAATTCCGAAGTATGTGTGTAATAAGATCAAAATAATAAAGGAAAAGTAAAACGTGAAATGGCGAAAACGGGCCCAATGTCAATAAAAACTTTAAAACTTTCAATACGCATCTCTTGTATGATTTCGTGGAAATTATGTATTTATGAATGATATGTTTCTGATAACTGTGTCAAGGGCATAGATATTTAGAGCAAGTAGCAATGCTATCACGTTAATTAAGTAAATAAAATGCCAGACAATTTCACAACAGCTTCGTCAACTTTTCTCCGCCGCGCCGTTTTGAAGGATACCGATAAGGTGGGGCAAAGTCGATTGACAAGAACACATTGCAAAATTGATATAGTTTCAATAGTGGTAGGGACAGTCCAATATTAAACAGGTTCAAATTATTCAAATATTTAAAGAGTTTATACTAAAGTAGTTTTGAAAATTATAGGCGTTACCTCATGTTCCATATCATAAAAGTTGTAGGTATTGCCAAATGTGTCGCATTTATTAAACCGAAGGTTGGTCGGATGTCCGACCTCTATCACTCTTATAGCGTACTAATAAAATTCCTAATATATTAATATTAATTTTGAGAAATGCAATACAGACCGCATTGGCGAGTCGATACATAACCTTGTCCACCCTGACATTCGCTAAACCTGACGCTCGACAGTAAGCAGCTAAAATTACAACAGCCAAAACCGTTCATTCTGTAATTGTGATACGGTGTGCCTACACCTTTAGGTTAACGCAATCCAAGCAGAATTAAAAGTTATTGTGCATTATCCGTGTAAATGTGTTAAACCTAAGTTTTGTCTTACGTATTTGTTATGGTTGTTCCAGTAAACATGGAAGCGCTGAGTAGGCTAGTTGAAGGGTACCACGACCTGATGGATAACAAAAGTGATCAGAGGGTGAAAGACTGGTTTCTCATGTCGTCGCCCTTCCCAACGCTGGCGATATGTCTCACATACGTGTTTACTGTCAAAGTAAGTATTTATTTTATATTCTTCCTTCTATTGCAGCAATATAAGAAATACATTTAGAATAATGTCATGTAACATAAGTATACACGTATTTTTATTGTTTTTGCATATCATAAACATCTAGTAAGACCGATTATTTTTATGAAATGACTTTCACGTAAAAGTTAATGCATTACATTATGTAAGCAATAAAGTATTGAGATTACGGCATTTCCATCCGTTGGAGGTCTTCGTTAGTATACATCTATCAAGCTTTTATTTATTTGTGTTGATTTAGCCAAAACTACTGTTGAGATTTAGTTCGTTCTGCAGACGTACTTCACTATGATCTACGAGGGCGGGTCAATAAGTCCGTGACTTTTGGAATAAAACACAGATTTTTTGATAAATAAATCATTTTATTTTTCAACGTAGTCTCCCTTGAGCTCTATACACTTTGTCCAACGGAGCCAAATCTGGAGAATAGGGCGGATGAGGGAGCAATTCATAGCCCAATTCATGGATTTTTGCCATGGCAACTGCACATGTGTGCACCCTTGCATTGCCTTGGTGGAAAAGAACTTATTTCTTGGCCAAATGAGGTCGGTTTTTTTCAAATCGTCATTGAATCGGTCCAATAAGTTGGCATAATATGCCCCATTGATTGTTCTTCCCTTTTGAAGGTAGTCAATGTGGATTATCCCGCGTGCATCCCAAAAGACAGTCGCCATAACTTTATTGGCTGACAAACCCGCCTTGGCCTTCTTTGGCGCCGATTCACCCTTAGAAACCCACTGTTTTGACTGTTGTTTGGTCTCTGGTGTGTTGTGATGGATCCATGTTTCGTCCACGGTTACAAAACGGCTCAAAAACTCCTCCATATTGCGATTAAACAACGCCAAACCTTCCTGTGAAGTTGTTACATGATTGCGTTTGTGGTCGACTGTGAGCAATCGCGGCACCCATCTTGCGGAAAGCTTTCTCATGCCCAAGTGATCATTCAAAATTGAAACCACTGAGCCATGCGAGATCCCTACGGCTTCCACAATCTCTTGCACTTTCAATCTTCGGTCGGCCAACACCATATCGTGAATTTTTTCGATTGTTTCGGGTGAAGAGACCTCAACTGGGCGTCCAGGACGGTCGGCGTCTTCAGTGCTTGTACGGCCACAACGAATTTCGTTGTGGCCGTACAAGCACTGAAGACCACTTTTTTACCATTAAAATCGATGGTGCAGAGTCCCCATAGTATTTATCAAGCTTAGCCTTGGTCTCGGTAATGGTTTTTTTTCGCAAAAAATAATGCTTAATAAGCACATTTTTTCCATTTTTTCCTCAAATTACTGGGTAGTCTGATAAAGATAGCTGTCAAACACAAACTAACTGACGCAGCAAGTTCAAATTTTGACAGGAATCAATCGGAGAGATGCCTGTTGACAGGAGTAGTGTTGCTTTTTCAGTAAAGAGGTCAGAAAATCAAAAAGTCACGAACTTATTGACCCGCCCTCGTAACTCTAGAAGTTGTAGACCGCATTCGCCGAAGTCCTTATTCATTTAAAATTGTACATTGAATAAGGTATTGATTGTTGAGTCGAGAGCACAAGATATGTATATTATCTTGCATACTAAGATCTTTCTGTATTCTGTAATTAATTATGCTATGTATTATACCTATAGCACATGTATTATGTACGTCACTTGATTGACTAACAATTGGTACCGCGTCAGGCAAATTAAACATCATTAAGGAATGTTTTCCATTGGAATTTGCCGCCGTTGTTGTTGTTTGTACGTAATATTACTAAATTATAAAATAACCCATAATTATTTTATACATTTAAAACCAACAAGCTTGTTTAATGTCGAATTGTATCTTGTTTGACGTAATGAGTCATTTGTCAAAATTTAAAGCGTGCAATACTATAATTAAAGTTTTTTTTAAATATCATAGAAAAAAAAAGGCTACATTTTCTTTTACTTAAAAACTGAACTTAATATATTACTTCAACTGTATTCAATATTACAACAACTTTATATTGGTTTAATGTTTTTTTACAATACTAATAGTATTTTTCTTTTTCTCAGGTTCTCGGACCAAAATTTATGGAAAACAGAAAACCGTTTGAGCTAAAGACTGTGCTTATATATTACAATTTATTCCAAGTTATATTCAGCTGCTGGCTGTTCTATGAGGTAATTATTACTTGTGATCTAACTTTTAACTGTTATTGACTTAAAAAATACTGTCAACGCTGGTGTGGCAAACATTATTGCTTATTATAAAGCAAGCTGTGTGGCTTGTTCGATCGTAGACATCAGTTTCATTTTCCTTATAACAGTTTTTTCTTCTTCTTCGATCGAAAACATGGTGCTGAAACAAGCTGTCCGCTTTTTTCCTATTCCAATCCTAAGAATATTTTAAATTAATTGTTAATGGTGGAACGAGGTGAGGTGAGTGAGTGCGAGTGGCCCTGTCTCTCACTTTTTTAATTGGTTTACACCGTTTTCAATGTGCTTAATTAAACGAATTATTTTTGGTGCAGAGCATAGTAAGCGGCTGGTTCACAACGTACAGCTTTAGATGTCAACCAGTCGACTATTCAAATTCACCGGCGGCGATACGGGTAAGACCTTTTAACTTAGTTTTACTATGGTAATTAATATTATTATTAGCCAAATACAAAACCTTTACATTAAACATTGATGTCCCTTAGAGACGTAAAATTAAAATAATTTAGTGGTGTACGAAAACGCGCATTTACAATGGATTATTCTCCATGTAGTAAAACAGAAATATAAGCTCCATAAGCCAGTGTTCCAGCAAATACAAAAACACATAGTTTTATTTTTACAATGAAAGTAATTTATCTACCCTATTAATAAAAGTAAACTGAATTAAAGACTAAATAATAATAATAGCTAGTATAACTCTGTTGTGAGTTTAAATTGTAGAACTTCAACTTAAACCGCTGATCTGAAATTAATTATATGGGGTAGAATTTGAACTGACATCCTCTTGGGGTGAACTTGCGGCCTTTTATTGTCACGTGGTGGAAAATCCTTTCGGATCTCCAGCCCAGGAGCCAGAAGTATGTGGTGTTACCCCTAAAACCACCCCGACGGCCGGCCTCAGGCGCCCTACTCTGGGGAGGACCCGGATCATGAAATTTCAGCCCCCCCCCCCCCCGGATCGACGCTGCACCTACTAGGCCCTCTACCGAGGGAAGCCAGAAGCTTCCCGCCGGCTATCACTTAATCTAGGAGCCCGATCGCATTTTTATGCAATCAGGCCGGCCCCATGTCCCTTACCGCAATAATCAATCCGCCACCAGAGGTCCCCACTCTCTGGTAGCCTGCGGCTCCAGTCGGCTAATAACGTCGCCGACGTCCTCTACGCTCGCGATCGGCGCTCTCCCGATCCCGTTCAGCGGTCTCTTTCTGGAGCATTAAAGCCTCACAGAAAGAGACCACTGCAATTGATTGGACAGGGGACAGGTCTCGTCCGAGTGAACTTGCGGCCTAACTGTAGTGTTCGATACAAATTTCTTGTCTCAGTTTTTAATTCCTAACATAAGTTACGTATTTAATCTTATAAGTTCTAAGGTATCAAATAGTTTCACATGTTTGTCTGATTTGAACTGACGTTGTAAGTTGTTTACCTTCAAGTTCATTCGCATCGCTACATAATTACGCAGCAAATACTTGAGCCAATTAAAGTAGTCCACAGATTGACGTAAGTATTAGCGAGTTATAAGTGAATACATTCTAGCAGTTTTTTTACACTTTTAACTTTGAAACATTATTTTTTTATAATGTTGCATAAAGTCATAGGTGTACCAATGTAGTTAAGTTTAAGCAGGGTTACCAATTATTTAAAGTGAAGTACTTATTTAGGTTTAAATATTTTTTTCAATACATCAACTTTTCCCGCTACAAGAGTTCTCTCTTACCGTCTAAAAACGGTGTTCCTCTACATGACGATAACCGAGGGAAAGAAAATCGCAAGTGCATTCGTCTGCCACCCCTAACACACATTGACCTGTCTCACCCAAGATGGTTCTCGTCACCCGTTGCGACCGTCACCCTTCGGTCGCAGTCCTCTAAAAGCGCTCAAGGCAAGCCTTACTGATACTACAATTATTTATTTAAATATCCTTGCGCAAATTCACATATAAAAAATTAAGCGTTTATCAGACAAAATTAAGGATGAAATCATTGATCTTGACATATTTCCTTTTTTTACAGACAGTTCACGGGTGCTGGTGGTACTATTTCTCGAAATTCACAGAATTTTTCGATACGGTAAGTTATTTATTATATTAATAGTTTATTTCTAACATACTGCTCGTGTGTAAATATATTGTATGCTAATGCTATGGAACCTATTATAAAAATAAGTCAACGCACTGGTAATGTAAATCCTTAGAATCCTTATAATTTCATTGAAAATTTAAGTTTTTTTATATATATATAATACTTTGATAGCAATTGATGTTCAGGAATGTAACAACTATCGAGGAATAAAGCTCATGTCACATACTATAAAAGTCTGGGTAAAAGTGATTGAGAGAAGAATAAAAGATGAGAGTGAGATAATCCAAAGTCAATTGGGGTTTATGACAGGATGCGGGACAACAGATGCTATATTTTCAATGCGCCAACTATGTGAGAAATACAGGAGTGCTCACAAATACTTGCATGTGGTGTTTGTGGACCTCGAAAAGGGATATGTATGATAGGGTACCCAGAGAGGTTTTGTGGTGGACTTTACATTTAGTTTGAAATGAGGATATACGAGGGAGTCTGAAAGTAGCGCCACTGGATGAAAAGTTAAGAAGCAATAGGTTATCTTGGTATAGACATGTCATGCGGAGGGATGAGGAAAATGTGGCAATAAAGTGTTAGGTATGGGAGTTGAAGGGTACAAGAGAAGAGGGAGACCAAATATAAGGTGGATGGACTGTCTTAGTGAGTATATGGCTAGGAAGGGATTGAACAGTGAGATGACAAATGATAGAGTAGAATGCCAGAATCATACTTACTGCGCCGACCACAAATAAAATAGATAGCAATTTTAGTGATTTTTAAGATCATTACAAACTAGCAAATCAACGTGACTCACTGCGTATTTAATTGAAGTTTTGAAGATTCTCTATTTGGACTTCAACGTTTTATCTACAATAAAAAATGATTGAGTGTACGCAAAAGGCGGCAAAGCATTAAAATAAATCTGAAGAGTTTATCAAATATGCGACACACGATTGATTTTTTTATTCTTATTAATATATTTTTTTTGCACGTAGTGGACAGTAGACTTAAGTTTACTGACGGACCTTAAAAATATAACCTTTTTTCTGTTACCTACACATACATACACCATCGGGGCTTAAATTAGGATGGTTATGTAAATTCGAACCTATTTAATCTATAAAGATTTTGTATACTAATACACCCTAAATCTAAAGATACTTAACCTAATATGGCAGTAACAAATCCCGCCAGTGTCGAGTTTTCATTTATTTTCTCTATCGCCGTTTATCTACGTTACTTTTAGTTTTATTATATTTTGATAAGCACACCAATGGCAATATTACAGAGATTTGGTTTCCTTATTTTTAAGATAACGGTAATGACAAAGATTAAGTGAGCATAATATTCTTTAAATTTTATGTAAAAAATCTTATAAGAATGCATTTATAGGTAAAAGTAAGAGTAAAATTAAACAAGTGAAAATAAGACAAAAGACGCTAAACATGAGTTTAAAGAACAATTTTATAGTAAAAATACGATAGGTGCAATATGTCAAGTGTTGTAAATATTTTATTGAAAAAAATGAAAATTATTTTCTACTTTTTAGTTCGGCTAGTTACAAAAGTTTTTTTTTAACTAAAATTTATTTTTGCTTTTTAGTCATTAATGATAATTATTTTATGATTAAGATTAAAAAAAGTAACAAGTTAGGTACATATTCTTTAGTACACGCCTTAGTACGTGGCACAAGACACAACTGTATTTTTAGATATGGAAAAGGCTGTTAAGCCTGAAGATCCTGATCAGGATAATTATACAAGTTTATTAAATTATTGAATTGTCATCAGTACTTGTTAAGTATACGAAGTTTCAATTTAATCCGAAGTTAGAGTTCGAACGTTCGAAGATTCCCTTATAGATACATACAAAATATTGAGGGTAGAGGCAAGGAGAACCATCTCTGTTTATGAAAAGTGTCCGTAAAAACGCATCCAACAAGAGTGGCGTTGCGGTAGCCTAGGATAGATTTATATTTGCTTAAATAATAATTAGAGATTGTTTAATAGACTGCGAAAGTAGTCAATGAGTTTTACAGATAATAAATAAACGTGTAATTTCAGACAGTAAGAGTTTTATAATATTTTAACTTGGCATACTTCACTCCGTCTGTAACAGCTATGTCCACTTCCGAACTCTATTGTTAGTATACAGCTGGACACTTTTTCATGATTCGCCTTGCCTCCTAACTCCATAATACCAAGCTAATAAAAGCGTGATAAAAATAATACGTACTTAGAACGCTAATGTCACACGAAATGCCTGTATGATGTATATTTTCATTGCAAAGATATCAATTAAATTATTTGATACAACTGTTTCATAAAACCGAGTCAAACGCCCCAGAGGAGTACTTTCAGTAGGTACCTCCAATATACAAAGATGGCGCAAATACGTTGATTAATTAAACATCTATAGAATCTTTTATAGGTTAAAGTGCACACCTTAGCTTTAAACTTGTCATTTTACAATTAATTAACCTGTCATCATCAAAACCATTTCTAATCATTAAATGCCTTACAAAACGAATCTAAATTGATTCTGCTCGATCAGCATGAGGGGAATAGAAATGCGACCAAAGGTTAGAACAGTGGTCCAATGTTTTCCTTACCAGATCGTTAGATAGCAAAATACGTTCATTTTTTTACATTTATCGCAAAAATGTTTTTCCATACGAATTATAAATCATTGCACTTTTTTATCAAAATATTTGTTTTGATAATCAATGTTATATCCTTTCGAGGTGTATCTATTATGGGCGTAACTGCTTTTAAATTGCTACCCGCCCACGCTCTTAAACCTGACCATGACAAAATGTTACCCAGAGAGATGTCACAGAAGGTCAATTCGTCCACCAGTTTAGCCGTTCTATTGCGGACTTAGAAGGGCATTGCTATCACCGTAACAGGTAACCATTACGAGGCTTAAATTCAGGCTTCTATTTACAGTTTAAAGTTGAAAAAGATAATAAGAAATATGACAAACTTCAATCTAAGGCACACACAAGTACACACAGTTACATTAGCTATTTTTTACCTTAAAAATTGTTATAATCTCAAAAACATAGCCTCCAAAAAAACTCGCTGACTAAACTCAGCACCACAAAAGCCGATAAAACCGAAGCGGTTAGTTGGTGAAATAATCTCGCAATCAAAGTTCAATCTGTTAACTCTATTCTCAAAAATACGAAGTAAGTTTTAGTTTTAGTTTCCTAGACTCGGTGCTGTTATAATCCGGTTTCGAAAACTTGGCTTGAAACTGCGTCTTTCAAAATTTGAATACCTAAAGATCTTTGTTATGTAAATTTTGCAATTACAATAAAAAATGTTGCGTATGTTCTATGGTGTTTACCGAAAAGTTTACCGAGAATAACATATTGTTATTTTTATTAAATTTACTCAAGATATCTTCAAGATACGTTGCTAAACTTTTTATACATACGTTATTTGTAAAACGTACATGATTATTACATTTTAATATTGTCTTACATGTTATTAGTATAAGTATGTATTATAAAATTATGAACTATCTTGACTAAGATATTTAATTGTAATGACAAAATAATGTAATGCGAAAATGTGTCTGACTGTCTGTCATTCTGTTCGTTACCTCTTCACGCTTAAACAGCTAAACCGACTTAGATGAAATTGGTATAGAGATAGTCCGAGTACCAGGAAAGGACATAGGGTAGTTTTATCCCAGAAATCATCAATCATCATCAATTTAAGGGGGTGGAGATACTTTGAGTATTGAGGGAAGACATAGGCTACGCTTTTTACCGAGAAAACCGACATTTACGCGAGCGGAGCAGCGGGTAATGGGTAGTTTCTAACAAAGACAGTTAAATAAGATAATACTGGTCGAGCAAGTTACACAATGAATAAATTTGTCGAAGGAAAAAACCAATGGTATGGTATGTCTTACTCTGACTAGCAACTATGATGACTATGATCACCAAAGCCAACTAACTAGACATAATGATACTATACATATATAACTAAAAAGAAAGTAATGAAGAAAGAAAATTATCCTCAAAACTATAAATAATTAAATGAAACAATATGGGAATTTCAGTAGTTGTTACTTGCTTTTAAAACAAATTAATAATCGACTCAATGCGTGGCTCATGCCGCACTTGGCCATATTTTTGCATATTATATTGGTTTATAGCAATTTTAATAACTCCTTATTATTAAGATTTATAATTTAAATCAAAACATAGTCATGTTCAAATAATACGCATACATCACAACTCCCACTATTTATAAAAGAGGCTCCTTTGGCGGCATGTTACGAAATGCTCGCAGCTGTTTGGTCGAAAAGTCATAGTGATTACGTTCGAAACCTTAACTTTAAAAGTGGACTACCTTCGCCGACTTAAAGCATGAATATCTAGTATGAATTTAGCGTAGGTAATAATTGTCAGTGTCAAGGATATGATCAGCCGCACGCAAATACCCCAATGTCTATGTTTGCATATTACCGGAACTCGTATGTTATAATGGGTATAGGTCAACACGTCGTCGCCGACGTATTTACTTTATGGGCATATTATCATTACATCAAAACTGGAACTTTATTTTACTGCTTTAACTGTTTATTTTGAGAAGAAGGAAGCTTCTAGATTTCCTGCTAGTGAAATAGTCTCTTTCATTTGACTTGTCTTATGATATAAGGAGCAAACGACTTCTGTAATAATGTTGCAGATACACATGCCTACACAAAAAAAAAAATTATAAAAAAAAACCTAAAATTTGTTTGTACCTACTCGTGTCTGTTTACTCGTATTAATTGTACAAGAAAATTCAAGCGTAAAGTTGCCGAATTTCATTGATAAATTGTTTTACTACTAAATATACTAAATATACTTGACTTTAACTATGTAAGCCTTAATATAATTTGACTAGTTAATTATTATAATTGTTATGTATTCCTTCTATTGCATTTGCATTTTATTGTAATTAGATTGGTGTTTCTAATCCTAACTCATATTGTAAAGGCGATTTAGTTTGTGACGCTTTGACTTCTTGACCTATCATCGAGAAATTCTGTATAGGCACTCAGCCAGGAAAAAATGTACACTAAGTGCTTTTCAATACAATAAATGACTAGAAATATCTTCTTGTCGCGGCCAACATACCTAATATTTGCATTACAAATTATATTTTAGCAAAAGTTATTTGCAAAAAATTCCACAAATTACTTGTACTCTAGGAACAGCCAAATCGTCATGATCGTAGAATAATGTCGGTTTTGAAAAAAATACGATATTCAATTTTTACCATATTTGGATACTACGAGTACATTGTCTGAATATTACTAACTTCAAACATTAATGTATTTTAGATTTTCAATTATTCATTATTTGACAGGTGACAACCTCCTTTCTCAGGAGAGGCTTATGTCCAGCAGTGGACTATTAAAGGCTGTTGATGAATGTTTATTTAAAGTAAAATGAAGCATGTGATTTTTTCTAGAAAATTGTATGATTGTTACTTGTTATTTTTATTGCATTTTAAAACAAACCCTATTTTTCACTTGTATGCCAATTTTCATAATTACAGATTTAGAATTTAAAAAGTTATGTCAAAAAAATAACATAATTATTTGAAATGGCTGCCCTGTAATGTTCAATAAATGTCAGATCCGACACTATTCTCAACTATGACGAAATATTGATGGACTTAACAATTTTCTATTACTTTTACACAATATTGTTCAAACGTAAGCGTTACCAGTCATTTTCGATTTTTATTTGATTATTTCTATATCGTACCTATTCTATGTAGATTATAATATATAGAAAACACTATCTAAAAGTATAACAATAAGCAGACACCTAAGTTCAAAGAATAATGGCCGTTATGTATCAAAGTATCAAAAGGTTATTAAACAAAACAAGCCAAATTTTATGTAATTGGTATTTAATTCAGGGTTAATAAACCCTCAATTAAGCCAAATGAACGCCAAATTAATAATTTGGCGAGACGTGCAAAGCAAAACGGTATTTTGATGCCGTCATGATGTGAACCATTGTTATAAATTACAATATTAATAGTATCTAACTACAAAAATGGGCATTATTTTCATCAAAACCTCTTGCATAGAGTAAAATGCAATCTTTCAGTTTCAATGCCGTTGGCGATAAACCAGAACTGTCTCTAAACACATTATTTTTATAGTTGTATATAGAGGACGTATAGCTGTTAAAAATGTTCTAAACTTGAATTTTTGAACAAATCATCATCATTGTCGTTATTAATACACTTTAACGAGAAGTTTGACAGGTTTGTTTTGTTTTAAATGGGTGTTTTTATTGTAAGTCGTCCTTTAAGTAAGGTAGTACAAAATCAAGGTTTTTATACTTCTGATGTAGACTTAAGTCTTGTTGATTATTTGCTTTTTTACACTATTCAAAGTATGCTGATTATATTAAGTTAAGTGCATGTAGTTGACACCATGGGTGGTGTCGCAGTCTCGTATTGTGATTTGAAAAAATAAACGGCGTATTTTTTGTGTGTTGCTTACCTTTTTACAGGACAGTCTGATTATATTATTTTTCCATATATATTATTATACTTAAATTTGTTTCTTTTTAAATTTAAAAACTAAATTACAAGAAGGGTAGAAAAATAGGAAATTAATGTTTGTCCATCCACCGGTTTGTTTGAAAAAATTACAATGAAACAAATAAAAGTAATAAGTCTCTAAGTTTGATTGTATAAATAAGTAACTATTTATATTATGTTTACGAATATGACACAAAAACTTTGTTAGTAAAACCTTGATCAGGCGAACGAAAGAAGAAATAAATATACCTAAACTTTTACATATATATGTAAATACCTAAATAATTTCGAGTCGGCGTCATACATTGACAATAAAATACGAAATATTTTGGGAAAGAGACACGTAGTCGCGGATTTCGCTCCATCATTAGCTTATATATATAGCACCACTTAGAATGATGCTCTGAATACAATATTTCAGTATTCGGTACACTGTCCCTTATAAGTTGTATATTAGTTCGAGTATATTGTGCACCGACTACAAATTATCATGTACATTAGGGAGGAGGTTTAGATTGATATTATTTTACACCTTTCCTCCTTATTTTCAATTATTTCTTCTTTCATCAGTTAATTTTTTTATGATGGCAGTCGACCATTATCGTATTACTTAAAAGTTTTTGTTAGGTTTCCTAAATATATGCGACTATACGTATAACATAAAATTGCGAATGCGAGTTTGTTACGCTTTCAGTTTTAAGCTACTGAACCGACCATTATGACATTACATATACATTATCAGTGTAGAAGAAGACCTGTAAATGCAAATACGTATAAAAACATATTATTCTTAAACAAAAACAGTAGAAATATAAACTATAATACCTGCATTGGGTAATATAATATTTCTGACATCTGACGCCATCTAGTTTCAAACTAAGCATAGTTATTACTATGAAAGCTAGATTGGCTGATAAGTAACATAACTTAATATCTCTCTACGTGTATTTAATATCAGAGCAAACACAAACCACACAAAGACTGCCCCCCGGGGATTGGTTCCCTTTTTCTATTTTTAAGGTGATTAAAAATGTATTAAATTTCTGTTGATTTCAGATCTTCTTCGTGATGCGTAAGAAGTTTGACCATGTGTCGAAATTACACGTCATCCATCATGGCATCATGCCTATGTCAGTGTGGTTCGGAGTCAAGTTCACGCCAGGTTAGCACCACAAGTTTATCTTTCCTATATTCATTCACAATTGCATAATAACACACTTCATCTCAAGTTTTGATTTCACTAAGTTCGTAGTTTATAATTTTGAAAAGTAGTAAACAAGTTACGTCAAAATTCTTGGCGAAACAATAAATAATATTTAAAAGAAGTAAAAGTCAAGGTAACAAATATATTAACACACTGAACATAAGTTGTACTAAGTATTTCACACTGAAGAACTGGTTAAATTATTAACGATACTGAGGACTAAAGTGACGAATTTAGTTTGTACTATAAATATTTTGATGACGTTTACTACAAATGCTAGTATTCATAACTACCTATATAGAAAAAAACTGCATTCGATTCGTTTTCAATCTTCGCAAGTATGACCACGTGTCTTCTTTACGTTCCCAGATGCAATGGCTCCCAATTCGTCAGTGCCTCAGTTTACGAGCACTGACTTCTCTCTTTTCTTTCCTCAACTCTCCATCGTTACCTGAATACTTCGTACCCCACTTCCCTTTCCTATGCTCCAATCACGATCAAAATCTTCGATCAACCAACAATATGCTTCTTCTACTTCTCCTCACACCTCCAACTTCATCAACTCCTCCTTTTACGTCCAGTAAGTTCTTCTATGGAATGCTGAAATCAGGATGTCCACTAACCGCCTTGCATTCAAGAGAAAAGTGCGCGATCTTCTTCGGAGTGAATTGGCAGAACAGTCACAACGCTAGTGTCCGACTGAGTATTTATATATTTTATTAAATTTATGTAGGTTTATGTGTTTATATATTGTGTATGTCTCTGGACCTAAATAATGGTAAATTTAATATTTTATTTTGCACCTACCGCATCATATTCCTACATCACCTGAAGGTTGACTGGGAGAGAATGCCTAATGGCATTAAGTCCGCCTTTGTACAACACGTGCATTAAGTTTAAAATTAAAAATAAATTAAGTTATTGACATGTTTCAAAGTCATCATCAAATTACGAACAAGAAGGATATAAGTAAATAACAAGCTAGGAAATATCTAAACATGGGTAGAGATCGATTAAACCATCAAGTGCAAGTGATAAAACAATTAGAGTAGGTATACACAATGTTTACTTATCTACTTAAAGCATCAATATCAAGTCAGTATCCAAGTAATGATGTCTAATACACGTGTACGCTTTCATTAAATAGTTGAAAATACCAATCGCGGCCATCGTGATTAGCTGCTAATTTTTTTCCCAACTAGGAAAATACCATCTCTCAGTTTACTTACATCAGTTTGAAGTTTTAAATATACAAGATGGGCACTCCTGATTTCGTCCACAGGACTAGTTATTAAATTACTAATTTAATTAAATACTTTATGTTGTTAAGTATTGTTATATGTACTATTTTTGGTAGGTTTTAGCAGTATTGGTACATTATATTTAGGTATATATCATTAGGATAAACCTGATAATATCTTATATCTTTATATATATATATATATATATATGAACAAATTCAAACAGATCATGATCATTTGATTGAACAGGTACATAATAATAGTTTAGAACTTTAATTCTCTGTAAGAGGCAAAACAAAAACTTTACTGAGCTAACGATGACTAACTGTTACGTCACTATAAAGTTTTTAAAGTGTGGTAATACCCATGGATCATTAGTTCACTGGGGTTAAGGTTGTATGGCATGTCGGAATAAAACTAATTACAACTAATTTTATTGATGCTCTGTGTTGCGTTTGAGGCATTGAGGACTAAAGGAAAAAGTGCCAGTAAGAAAATTTAAAAAAAACCTTTTGAGTAGTTTTTTTGGCAATCATACATAATTACGATTAACTCTAGTGGCAAATAACTAGGTTCGAAAGTTAAGTCATAAAAGAATACACGCACACTAATAAAATGAAATTAACGGGCCTAGTTGCTAGTAATTCCGTCTAGAGATAGAGAGTTCGATTCCCACCCAGGACAATATTTTAGTGATGAGCATAATCATTTGTTCTGTGTCTGAGTGAAATTTATCAATAATGTTTAAGCCCTGACGGCCGCCTGTGAAGTATCTCAATTAATTATTATTATAATATACAGGTACATAGATACAGTATACATATTTAAACTCATTTATGATTACTTCAGAATGTACACATTAATTACTTGAGTTACTGAACTACATTAGTTTTTCTGGATGTATACGTTTCTTGATAAATCATTTATAATGGGCGTAAAATCCAATAATTATGATTCGCGAAATGATTCTAGTCATGCTATTCTTATAAACGTCATCTTATTATCCGTTACAAGTGTGTTGAGTTGGTATGTTTTATTCTCTAGATTCATTCATTGTCATACTAAATACATTATAATATATTAGAGATGTAGGTATTATAGTAGGCATGAAACTTTACAAGAAAATGTTATATTTTAGGTAGTATATTTGTCACTGATAAACTTTAGAAAAATATAAATTATATTGAAATGAACTAAAACATTTTTTTGTTTAGTTTTGGCTTTTGCATTGACTATCTACTAAGTAAATACAGAATAAATGCGTACGTCATTTTGGTTTTTTGTTTAGTACTGTTCTACTATTCAACCGATGAGCATAATTTTGTAGTTCAGGAAATGGCTTAAGAAACCTCTCATCTAGAAAAAAACTACCTACTATTCCAGGCACAGTGAAATAACATCTATGCGATGCCGTGGACATAGCTAGTCTAGCTTTTTTTTCTAGATGAGAGGTTTCATAAAAGTATTTATTAACACAACGCACTATACTCTAGTAAAAGCCGACTTCTTATGTCTAGCAAATTCTCACTAACTCTACAATAAATATTAACTTTATCGTTTACATAATACGTGTTGACGAGTCGCAATAATGTCATGTCCTCGAAAATTGATGTCTACAAACAGAGACGAGTTCCTTCAACTTCTATTTGAGCAGTAATAAATTTGAATGTTTGTAAAAAAATGTTGGAAATCCTTGTTCAGGAATATGTTTAATAAATGTTTATTTTGCTAAAAAATAATGTCAGTGGCAAAATTATCATACAAACTACTACTTGTATGATAATTTTGAAATCCCTTTAGCATTTAACACCCTCATTACTCTTTACTAAAACTCTCGGATCTCCTTAGCATTGGCCCTAATTAAAATCATGAACAGAATGCTATGCCGCTTGAATCTATTGTTTGTTTCCGGGTTTCTGTAATGACTAATTCATTTGTACTTTGTTGAGGGAAGTGGTGTAACCTAGTGTAGTCTACCTACGTGAAGTACTTGCATACATCTGTTTATTGTAATTAAAAAGTAATTAGATACTATCTATTAAACACTTAGTACTTCACAAAGTCTAAACTATCTAATAGATCATCTAAGAAATCAGAGAATATGAGCAACCAGCCAAAGATGTACGATTTTTTCGAACTGGGGCACTGGTGCTCTCCTCCCCAGAGTTTGAGATAAATGTAAAAACTAATATATATAAACTTAAAAAAACTCACAAATATATAAGTTCGCTTGTAGTGTGAGCCTGTGTGGCGGCTTTTTCTTACAAGTCGACGGTGAGCCAACCTGGCTTCCGTATGCTAGGCGCTTTGTGGAGCAAGTTTTTTATTTTTTAATTATACTATATTATGATTTTGGCGCCCCCTGAAACTGCCCCCCCCCCCCCCTCCTAGATCCAGGGCTGTGAACAAGATTTAGTGATGATACGGTGAACGGTCATAAAGTTGCATGACAGTAAAAACTCACATTTAAAAAAACTTGGCAAATCAATCAATTTAGGTATCACTTGATTACGTTGTAATGTGCCACAGTTGGAGCCCCATTGTCATTTCATATTGTTATATTTTTTGCCATTTATTTTCTTTGTACAAATATTAGTTTTATCTTATTTGTATTTTATTTCTCACAGGCGGCCATTCTACTTTCTTCGGTATGTTGAACACATTTGTGCACATCGTTATGTACTCGTACTATCTGCTTGCTGCGTTAGGACCGAAGGTTCAGAAGTACCTCTGGTGGAAAAAGTACCTCACAGCACTTCAGATGGTAAGTTCCTCTTTTTACATTACTTGTTTTAGCCCTTGTATCACTAAGTTTTACTTGTCCTTTATACTAAAACCATTAAAACTATGCTAGTGAGGTTAGTGACTCTAAACTCTAAAAGCCGAAAGTTGTGGGTTCGATTCCCACCCAGGACAATTTTTTCTTTTTATATTAAGGCAACCGAAATTACTAGTATTGTGTGATGAGCACGATCATTTGTTCTGTGTCTGAGAAAAAATAGTTTATAACTAATATGTATGTATTTAGAAATATTTAAGTGTGTATATCAAAAGTCGGGTTACCATTGCACAGCCTCTGCCTAGTTTAGGCTCAGACTTCCGTGTGTTAAATGTGTGAAGTGTAAATAAAATTTATAGCTAATAAAAAAGGTAGGTTTTTTGGGTAACCGCGGTGGAGTTCTGTGAACGTATTGAGGTTTATGTCGAGTCCGATTCGAGTAGCTATTCGATGTGGCCTTCAAAATTTTAAAAAGTAAACATGTATCTTTCATAAAATAATGACCTTCTATTTTCCTTGACATTATGATTTAGGTGGTATAAATCTAACATAACTTTCAACATCTAATAAATGATATTTGACTCAGACAACGTGTTGTAATCATAAATATCGTGTGTTCATTAACAATGTTACAAAGCAACGCTCACGTGATTTTTCTAGACCGCATAACAATTTTGTCCCAAAACCATACGGAAATTTGTATTGAAGATCCGTAAGCGGAACTGTATCTTAGGATTTCCTATAGGAGAGCTAGCTGAATAACAGTAGGCCAAATCTCGTAATAAAAGATCTGTCAAAATTCAGTTCCGATCAACTCTCGATCTCGAAACTGACATAAAAGGTATCTTCTTGGCACCTTTCTGTAGCGCCTCCACAATGTTTGTAGAGGCAAGACTGAACACGTTTAATGCCATCCAAAGAAGCCGAATCGCGGCGTTTATGGCCCGGGTTGGTTCGTGTAGGAACACTATAATTAAGGAACTTGCTGACAGGGTATGTAACATGTTTAAAAAATGGTTACAGATAGCTACATAAGTAATGTAACCAAAATAAAGAAATATCATAAACATTATATGGAAACTATTCTGAAATAAAGATTTATTATTATTATTATTATTATTATTATGTCATTTTATACCTTGTCTGGTCTCCCTTTTATTTTAAAGGGGTAACAAAATCTAACACACGGGCCTTAGCCAAGTGTGCCAAAAAGGGGTGATGATATGAAGTTAAGATGATGAGGATGAAGCGAGAAATTTGCGTGTGAGACGGCATGTGTTAAGAAGGACTGCTTTTTGTAAGAGTATGAGAGAGGATTTCGGCATTTCCAATGTGTTGAGGCTATCTTGAAGAGTCTTCGGTACTACACCAGTTGTAGATATGACAATCGGTACTATTTTAACTCTATCTACCTGCCATTGCCTTTTTATTTCCGTTGCTAAGTCTGTGTATTTAGTCATCTTTTCTGTGTGCGTCATGAGGAGATTGTGTTATTATTAAAATAGTAAAGTATTAGTTGCATTGCGATAAAATCACACTATCGTCAACGTTGGATGTTTAATACTTTACTACGAAAATACCTTTTCTGAGAGTTGTGAGATCGAGAGTTGATTGGAATTGAATTGTGGCCGAACTTTTTTTACGAGAATTGGCCTTCTGATTGTCTATACCCGGCATGAGAAAATTATAAATATTGGTTCACAGTCAAATATTGTCCAATATTATCCTCACAGGGTTTCTATGATAAGAAATAACTATATTAACCATTGATACAAATAAATGTAATAAATAAAATAATGTGTATTTGCAGGTTCAGTTCGTATTAGTCTTCCTCCACGCGTTCCAACTGCTGTTCATTGACTGCGACTACCCTCGTGCCTTCGTCTGGTGGATCGGCATGCACGCCGTTCTCTTCTATTACCTTTTCTCAGACTTTTACAAACAGGCCTACCTCAAGAAAGTCAAAGTAAGTTAAAACGTTTCTATAATTGACATTATTGACATGACTAAGCGAAAATAAGATTTGTTTAGTAAAAAATTATGGTCAAAGTGATTTCTCGCTTATTTAAATTTCACTTAAGAGTTCATTATCAGTTAATCATTGTAGAGCTTTAGTTTAAATAACAAAAATCTAACTGTAAAAAATATTTTATACATAGATTTTTAATAACTTAAAAATTAAAACCAAGCACGATATATGATGACAAAACTAAACAAAACGAGTAGGTCAACTAAAAAAACGCACGATTGCATTTTTATGTTGCTATAAAGAAAACCTCAATTACTTTTATATGATTGAATATTTATTAACGGTATTTAAAAGCAACTTATATGACTATCCTAATGTATGCATTCGCACGTAAGTAAATAATAAATGTTTTTTTAGAAAAACAAAGCCAAGGTGAAGGCGGAGACAGAGAAGATGAAGATGGAAACAAAAGAAAGTATGCTACCGCTTCTCAACGGCTTTTCAAATGGGTCGGCATTAGGCGATGTTCGGCAAAGAATGGCCGGTGCCGTCGCTTCGCAGTGAACGATACGCCATATTTTATTTACCATAGTGAATCTCGGTACGATGAACGTGAATATTGTGTCACGTACATTCGTTTCGTTAAACAGAGACTTTTTAACCGACTTACTACTTATTAGCAGCAGTCATCATTAAACTATGACTTTCTCAAGGTGATTTCAACGCAAAGTCATTACTCTGAGTTTCGTATATTAAGTTGTAGCTAAGTAAGGAGCTAAATAAAAACACCCAAAATCTAATTACTTTGTGTGTAGAAAATTAAACCTGATGTTGTGCCAATGATACAAGCAATTTTCTACATTAATAAGTACACTGAAAACTGTACGAAAAAAAAATCACTGGGTTTTTAACTTATTTTATATTAACTCCTTTCTTAAAATCAATTAATCTACTACATCAAGAATCTCATCGCCACAACTGCGATTTAAACACTAAGCTCAACTAAGGCTAAGTTACGTATAAATGTAAGGGTAGATAATTATAGAATTAGTAATGATAGATGTAATTTATTCAACTCAATGTGTAAGTTCAAACGTGAGATGTCGACTACGAATACTTAATCCGAGAGGGTAGCCATTTTGTTATTTAGTGAAAAAACTAAACTATGCAATAGGTTTTACCCATCAATGCTATTTCCAACTTTTTAATCTCAGTAGAAATATTTATATATTTCTATGTTCGTAACCAAAAAGAAAAGTTAGTTTCGAATATAAGCAAGTTTTATGTTTAAACGGCAATTCTATTTATTTTTATAGTGTATATAATTGTTTTTGCCTGTGTGTGACAATAACACATATAATAATACAAACAACAATTAGTTAACTAAGTAGTTCATGAACTTTCTAGATAAAGTGATTGTCACCGGTACAATTACCTTTGGTAATCGTTCGCTCCAAGTTTTTTTTTTTTACAAATGATTTCATAAGACATTTATTTAACTTTATTCAACAGTCTGCCTAAAATATCCCAATTAATAAACTACTGGAACATTAGACGTCGTTTCGAAAACACTTTGTGTTTTGCAACATGTGTGTGTGTATGTCCTTAGAAAGCAAACATCATTAGTTTTCTTTATTATGTTTCATCTACCGATATATCCGTCATTGCCGTCTCAATACATTTTCTAGTGTTTGCACAGACCGCCCGAATACATAACAAGGTATGGGTACATGTAACATCTAGCTGTTATTAGTTAGGCAAACATTCGTGACTTTTCCTTATACTGCGCATTGACTAGAAGAATTTACAAAAAAAAAATACACGTGAGTACCTCAGCAGTCATGTTACGGAGTGTATGCATACACAAACATATATCTGAATGATGCCGACAACAAACACTTGTATTCTAACAACAGGAGTTGAAATGTATAATATCATTACATATTCAATAAACTCTCTTTGTCAAAGAGAAACGAAATTTTAATCCAGCTATTGATTAATTTTATATTCTTTTGAATACATTTAAATAACATGTTCTAATCAAGTGCTTATATTTTCTATGAATAATATTGATTAGTTCCTTGAAAAATAATTGAGATTTAATAACTATCATACTGATTACTGGCAATACTTATCGGCAATGGTTTAAATCGGTGTTGCTCTCTGCAAATGTTGAAAAGTTGGATAAGCATGACATTATTGAAATCAAAAAAGAACAGAAAAGTAGTTGAAACTATAAAATGTGTTTTTGTTTAAAGTTCGACAATATCTTGATTATTAATTTGACACAACTTTTGTCATGAAGTTTGTCTTCATTTTTTTTTTGTATACAAAGTCTGTTTTATTTTTACATTACTGTACTTGATATTGAGTGCTCAAAGTGCTCACCGACTTGTGTGTACGCGTCATGTATAGAATTTAAGGGAACACAATATAATTTCAAAACAATGATGTCTACATTATTTTAGGCGTCATTACTGTATACAACAATTAAGGCGATTGGTGTATCTAATGTTGTTCGTCAACTCTTTGTAAATATAAACGTATGTGAAAGGGTAAACTTACATTTGTACTTTGTGATACTTAAGTTAATAAAAAGCGAATTTAAGTTTATCTGTGTTTCTTTTCTTTGCCTTTTTTATAGTAATTAACCTAAAGTGCCTTATAAAATGATCATTAACAGAATAGATACTCAGTTTAAATATAATAATAATAATAAGCCCCCTAAACAACCACACATCCAGATTCACCATCTAATTACGTGGGGGTGGACACACGAATGAAAAATTACTGGCGTGGCTAACGTGGCTCTGGAAACCCATTTAAAATGGAGACACGTTTAAAAAGAAAGCGTATAGGACCACAGCCCGGGTATCGCCGGGGCACATCTGGAGCTGATGTCTCAACATGCGAACCGTCAGCGCTGTGGAGTCGAGCAGGCGGGCTTCCACCGACAAAAATCATCATCATCATCAACAACCATTACTAGTCCACTGCTGAACATAGGCCTCTCCTTAGAAAGGAGGGACCGACAAAAATGCATAATAATAACATTCTACCACATTCACACAACGTCATCTAGTCCCAAACTAAACAGAGCTTGTACTATATGTAACACAACTGATATAAATACATATATACTTTTTTTTAATACATACATATCATACATGAAACGTCCAGACCAAACCTTTGACATGAGCGGGCATGGAACACGCGATTGTTATTTCTAATGTATTTACCAAATAGCAGTTTGTATACCTATAATTGACACATATTTAAACGTACCCGAAACAACGTATGTTGGGAGTTGAGTTACCAAGTGTTAATTTGTTTATTTATACAAATAAATAAAATTAAAGTGTATGTTTGTAATGTCAAAATAATAGGTTTTTTCATTATTACACGGTTATTTGCACGTCTGTCTGTCTGTCTGTTTGTTCAAGAGGCTGGACCGATTTTAATAATATTTTACTACCAATTAGCTGTCTATATAAGGAGTAACTTAAGCTATTTTTCTCTCAGAAAAAGTCTATAAAATTTTGCCCGTTCTGAGAATCGAACCCACAGGCAACGCTTTTCAAATTCCACGCGAACGAAGTCGCGGGCACCAGCTAGCGCAAAACGTAAATTATAAGGTTTGAAAGAAATAAGGATATCTGGTATTATAGGTAGTCATTATATTATCCGTGTGGTGACTGATTAAGAATACGGAGTGTCACCGTTGATGTCGTAAGAGCCAGCTAGGCTAGGCAACAAGTTCTAAAACGTGTTATTTCCATGATTTATTCAAATTTTAAAATTAATATTTGTTACGAAATAAGCTATATTTTATGTGGTACAATGTCTTTAGCGGCAGTGCGCCTATGACGTTACGGCTGGGCGTAGTCCTATTTTCGCCGTTAAATTAAAATTATAATTAATAATGGACTTTTTTCTCGGCAATTTCATCATTATTCTGAATTAATACGTTTTTCAACTTGTTGACTAGCCTTATTAGGGAGCAAACTTCGCAGGACAACAGCACTGCAAAGAGAAGGAAAACTTGACAGAAACCCTATACCCGTCTGGCCAGCGTAGTATAGTAAGCTAAAACTTCCTATCTAAGGAGAGGCCTATGTCCAGCAGTTGACTATTAAAGGCTGTTGATGTGATGTAATGTAATAGGTAGTTATCAAATTATGTAGCATTATATCACACATAACACTTTTTGCGACGGAAAAACAGCATTGCGACTTGCGAGACTTGAATTTTTGATATACTTTTTAACAGGATAGGCAAATGATAGGCAAAGGAAAGGAAGGAAGTCAACGATACTGCACCCACCTGTCTAGTATTTACCTACCTGTAAAGAAAATGTAAGCTGATATTGAAAATAACCCTACGGCAATCAACACATGATGCGTATGATTTTTAGAATATTTGATGAGGAATAAAATAAGACTTGTCTTGGTCAGTCAGTGATAGTCTTGTTTCTCTACAATTAATAGTATTGGCGTTATTCCATTTTTGAATAAAAATGCTGCTTTTCTTTAAACAACTAGCTATAGATCGTTAGCAAAAATATATACGCAAATTAATTTTGTTTTTTGATAAATACCTTGACCCAAATTTATAAATGAAATATGTGTCAAATAGCGTAGGAAACTACTTTCCTATCGGGTGTCCCACGACACCACACGCCTTTTTTTTGTTGTATATGGGGGCAAACGAGCAGACAGGTCACCTGAGCCTGATGGTATCACTCTGGTCGAGCCTGCCTTATAATATGTACCGATGCATGGCTCTTCCAATATTCCTTCAGACATCGACTGAGGTTATGTTTTTTGCCTACATTCATCTTAAACAGCGTTATTTTCGTTTAGTATTGTTCTAAAATATTGCTCAGTACCAACGAATTGAAACTGTTATTATGCCTGCTGGCGGCATCTATGGATAAGTAGCAGTAAATTTTATTTCTAGACCGTAGGTAATCTAAGCCATTCTCTCGTTTTTTTTCAAGTAATAAGATCTCAAAACAAATATAACAAAACGGGTAGGGTAAATAAGAATAACGGGTGACAATCCAGAGCTTTCATGTTTAAAAGCCATCACAATGAAAACATACTAAAAATTAATTAGTTATTTAAAAGGACTTTTTAACATGCATATCAACTGAAGTAACTAATTTTGAACAATTAAATAACATTAGTACAAAAATTTAATTTGGGTTAACGTTCAAAATAAATATATTACATACTAGAATTTAAAATAACTTGACCATCAACAGATGGCGCTGCAATCAGAAATCAATTGAAATTCTATTTTGTTTATTTATATTTTATTTTGATACAAAATAAACAATCATAATAATAATAGACTATAAAGTTGAACAGTTAGTAGTTAGTAGTTTCTGAATAAAATTCAGAAAATTTTCACAACTGTTCGAGTGATTTCAAGTTTTAATCAGTATTTGAATGATTAATTAGACGTCAGACTACTTCAATCAGGCAAAACAGTGTCAGTATTAGAAATAAATAATAATTAGTTTGAATCATTTGGAAAGTTTTTAGAAAATTTTGTCTGACAAAATCTCTTCAACATAACATATTGCAATATTTGAAGATTTGCGCCTACATTTACTATTACCAGCATCGTATAGCAAATCAACATTAATGTACGACATGAATATAAAAGATTTAGGCGTTTGATGACTACAATTTAAATAATTAATCTCATTATACACCTGCCACACACAAATCTCTGTATCGCCTCAAGGCTGACTGGAAGAAAATGCCTATGGCATTAGGTCCGCCTTATGCAATGTATTTGTATTTGGGAATAAATAAATAAATAAAATAAGGCGATAATGTTACAATAAAGAATATTATGACTGTTCCAAATATAATAATACTAATTTATTTAAGTTACTATAAATGAAATAATGTGCTCTGCGAACACAGTTTTTTTTACCTAACAGTTTTTGTTTACCATAACTGAGATGAAACAGAAACCTTTTGCCCGGATATCGGAAAGAAGAATATTCGGATTGGCAAACCTTGTGAAATAAAATCACAGAATGTGATATCAATCAATTTTAATATTGTCAATAGGGAATATGCACGTGACACCAAACTGGACAAAATATTTTTATTTGTAATTTTTATTGCTAAAAAAAGATACCCATACAATTATTTTTGAAATTTATTTTATTTATTTTATATTTTATTTATTTATTTAATAGTGAAATTTAATCATCAAAAATTGGCTTTTTTAAGATTCCCTCGCAAATTTCTAAAACGCAACGCTATTGGTTGAATAAGACGTGACGTCAACCTACACTGTCAAGAGTGTCAACAAGTTGTGTGTATTTGTAATATTTGGGTTCTGGTGATTATTTGTTTCATTTTAAGTTAATAACTAATACGTTTTAGTGTTAAATTCCCGTGTAGAAAGACTCAACACAATGACTGAATCTACTTTGTCAGGTGCAGTTTTGATATTATTTGGGCACAAAGGAACGGCACAATATTTATAATAAGTTTTTATTGGCTTTCCATGGTAATAAGTTAATTTTTATCACTCACTTTTTTATCTTTGTGAACTTCACTCCGTTGTTGACATCGAATTCGTCTGAAAGTGTAATCTGACATCACAAAAAAAGCGCGCCAAAATGGACGTGTTCAAATTGCCCCAAAATGATAGTGATTTTAATAATATTTTTTTTGCTTAACGGTTTATATTTCAAATGTGTTATATTTATTTTTGGTAATGTAATAACTAGTAGAATCGTAAAAAAAAATAAAAAAAATACATGCATATTCCCTATTGCCTGTTCTGGTTGCGGCAGTATCGTAATGCCATATAGCTGGCTTAAAAAATTGTTTGAAGATGAAACTAAGTAAAGAACTTCTGAGAAAGAGATTTTGTCACTACGCTGTAGTGACAAAATGACATAACGGGCCCGTTGGCCCAGTGGTTAGTGACCCTGACTGACAGTCACTAACCACTGGGCCAACAGGCCCGTCAGTCAACAGAGTCCCGAATCCCACCCAGAATAATTAATTATGTGATAAGCACGATGATTTGTTTCATGTCTGGGTGTATATAAGTATGTTTATCAGCAGTCTGGTTACCATCTAGCATCTGCTCTGCCTAGTTTGGAAACAGACGGCGGTGTGTGAGATATGTGAAGTTATTAAAAAAAATACCTATTTCTTATTTAATATTTGTTTGGCCTCCCTGAGTTACTGCAGATTTCCTAGCCGAGACTTGCAGAATCCCTTAACTCCCTGTCTCTTTTCTTTGCCGCAATTCACATTGTACTTCGTCGTTGTATGGAATACTAATATGAAACATAATTTTATTTTAATGAAATCTCCCGTCATATAATTAAATTAAATTATGTAATTAATAAAAATGTAACAAGTTAAAAATATCAAAATATATAAGGTTTAATCATTTGAATAAAAATACTTATTAAAAAAAAAACAACATTATATATATTACACATTTTTAATATAGGGTTCAGTAACACACAAACTCTTAATAACTACATTTACCTGGGTAAAGGGTAGGAAGTTGATTGTGGTAACCTAATTTCGCTCTAAAACGTTTGAATCGATGACTCATTAAGTGACACATTAATTAAGATGTGATCAATAAGATGATCGATACTAAAAGCTACGGCTGGTGTTGCTACTATCTACCTATAGGATAAAGTGTCCACTTACCACGAAGTGGCCTATTTACCAAAACGGTATTAATAAATCGGTAATAAATTAAAGTACGTATGCATGATGTGTAATAGATCGTAACGCATTCAAAATTGTAAGGCTTTTTGTTTAAAGGCAAAACATTTTCTTTTTTATGAAATTATGTATAAAATGTATTTTTTTATATTTTACTGTTTCTGACATCAATATAGCAAGCACTAAGAATAATGTAGTAACTCAATGAAAACTTTATCAAATTTTGAGCGGTTAAAACAAACACAACATGTTGTTTCTTACCTTTGAACTATTGCAACCCTTTTACTGGCATATTGTATTGTGCCTAAGCATTGGTATGCAGATCATTATCGTATCGTCACACCAGTGTCGAAAGTGTTGTATTGTTTGCCTGCATATTATGTGCAGTGCTCAGCTAAACGTCTAAATTGTTCACTGGTTCTCACGTACTTTGCCAAGTGACACAAATTACACAAGCAATTCTTTATTAAGAAAACTTTATTTACAATGAAATATTTTACAATCTATCGCCTTAACTTACTTTCTATGGAACCTAAATAGAATCTATATTATGAAACACCACTGTCAGCAAGCAGAAACTTGCTTCAATTCATTGTGGGTGGTTTGTAAATACTTACACAGTAATAAACAACTTATACCAATAGAAACATCAATAATAATATCACAAATAATTTAGGGTAACTACAGGTAAGCCTCTTTAGATTTCATAAAGTACATTTGTATAGAATTTAATCAATGTTTGTATGTTGTTATAATAAATATCATCAAGTTTTATTTACAAAAGCTGTACTTTGACGGTCGGATTGAGTATTTAAATACAAGTTCCAATATATTATATTATCCTCTTAAATATCATATAAATTAAACCTACCAATTATTCGTTAAAACCAAATGAAACTATTCCTTCGTTGTGGCAAGGTACTACAATTTTACTAAGTCTAGTTTCATCTAGTTACTGCACTAAAGAGGCGACTAATTTAATGGCAGTGGTTTAACATAATTCATTAACAGTTACGATCTCTTCTTCTTATTAGTCTTTCCGAATTCTTCGATTTGATCATACTCCGAGAATCCTGGGTCTGAATCGTAATATGCATAGTCATAACTGTTGTCTTCTTTTTTGTTAGCCGGCTGCGCGAAATGAGGAGATCTTGGTGCCGCGGTCGGGGGCACCGTAGGCTGCGTTGCGGGGGCAGGTGCGCGCGTCGCTGGTCGAGGTGGTCGTGTTTCTTTCACTGGGGGTACGGCTGTTGTTGTTTGTCTGGCTGGCAGTTCATTAGCAGGTGCGAGTGTTTGTCCAATTGCCAAATAGTCTGATGGCCGTGATGTCGTAGTGTAAGTTTGAAAATAGTCAAAAGTCCGCTGCGTGTTCACAGTCTGTGGCTGTTGAGTTGTCGTATAAATAGTCTCCTGTGCTCTAGTTGTTGGTGGTATGGTTGGAGTAGGTGCGGGTTTAAATGGCCTAGGAGCTGCGGTCTGTGCTACTAGTTTATGAGGCGATTTGGTTTTAGAGTATGTTTTACGATCTTCTTGAAGTCTGTTACCACTAGCTGCTATGTTTAAGGAGTGAGCTCCTGACAAAAGCTCTCGGTCATATACTTCGGGTTTATATAGTCCATCATCTTCACCCTCTGGTGGGTGATATTGGCCGTCGTCCTCGCCGCTAGCGTAATTGTTAGTTTGTGCGTTAAAACCAATGTTTGTATTGTATGCTATGGTGTTTAAATTTGGTGGGGGTTCGGGGCGAGATGTTGTGTATATTGTCGTAATGGAAGCAGAAGTAGTTGTAGGATAGTTGCTATTAAAATTATTTTGTTTGGAATAAGGTACATAGTTGGCTTTTTCCGGTTCATAGGGGACGCTGTTATAATTTTTATAGGCGACTGTGGTAGTGGGGAAAGCTCTAGTGGAAACACTGTAATCAGTAGTTGCAGGAGAGTCTCTGGCGTTATTGAAATTAAAATTTTTAGTTCGCTGAAATTCGGGATCTCTTGGTACATTTTCATTAAAGTTATTTTTGACCTTGAGAGGTCGATTTTCTTTTTGTACATTTATTCCTGGAGTTGACTGTGAATCGTAATTATAGATTTCTATAAGGCCATCATTCTTATTGTACCTCTGGGAGTTAGTTGTTTGTGGCAAAGACGTGGAGGACACACTCTTTGGGTAGAATCGGTTTTGTTTCGGTGTTACTCGACTAACTTCTACATATTCATCTTTGTATTCTTGATATTGTGGAGGTACATCTGGTGTTGTCGTGTAAAATTGTTTATTCTGAGGGGGAACACGTCGGTTAAAATTGGGCTGAGCATTATAATTATTCTGTAAATTAAAATTTTGTTGCGGATTAGCATTTTGCTTTGAGTTATAATTTTGCTGTTGGTTATAGTTTTGTTGTGATTGCTGTAGTGGCTCGGCGTAATTCTGCTGTGGCACTGAAACCGGTGGGACTGTGGTTATAGCTGCTTTTGTGGGCACATAGATAGGACGCTTTCTTACAAGTTTTCGTTTTGAACCACCTTCATATTGTGGCCTGTTAGATGGCTGTGGTGAAGGAGATGGGGCGGGCGTTGTGTACTGAGTGGTTGGAAATGCGCGAGCGCTAGTGGGTCTTCTAGAAGGCTGTCTTGAGTATATTTGTGAGGAGGGAGATGGGGATACAGGTGGTGATGTAGGGGAGGACTCATCACGACCGCGGTCGCGTTGTCCACTAAAGAAATCTGAAGAATGTGCAGCTCGTAGATCAGAGTCAGGTCGACTGGAAGCGACGTTATTCTGACTTAAGCGACGATCACCGGTCTCCGCTCGTTGAAGGCCGAACTCGGCTTCTTCATCTCGATTTCCTGTCAATTTCTTGGTGTCGAATCCTATTACAAAAAAAAAACAATATATTATTGTTACATTATACCGGTTAGTGATAGTACTAGTACAATAATCGGTAAACAAATGATAAAAGCTTTAGCTCGCAAGTCTGTCACACACATGGTATTATTATGTTACTTTATTAAAACATCTAAAAGCTGAAAAATGTAAGCGCATTTGACTAAAGCATACTTGTACTTCGACAAATTATTACCTACTAATTTCAAAGCGGTCACAGCTCAGTACCCAAGGAATGCATTCAATTAGGATTCTTTCAAAAAGTGTCAATTCCTGCATTCGTCTAAATTTTACCTCTTTAACTTTCTATACATAGTATAAAACACAGTATTTGAAATTCTCAGGTTTCTGCTATTATTTATTATTTATAGGGGTGAGTAAAGTATGTACTGTATACTCGTACTTAACTCTTAGTTGTTGTGCAAATGATTTACAATCTACATTGAATACAAATGTATTACATAAACATCGAAAATAATTAATTATTTACCAATTATTAGGTTTCCTTAACCATTTTCCTAATTTATTTGTTACTATCTCTTACTTAGTGACAACAAACTCAGATATAAAATATTAATATAGTTAATAATTTAAAATGGAATTTAGTCTGAAATATTCTAATTGTAGATTGACCTCATATTAAAACCTAAACACAATAGAAAAAACCAGAACAAACACATAAATATAAATGCACATTCTTCGTCCCTAAAACCGTAGCGTTATTCAACCATAGCATTATGTTATGAATAATTTAATACAAATTTTGACCATTATATTGTGTCATAACTTTTCTCATAAATAAATATACATATCTGAACAGAAAAGCATCAGTTATTAACGTATTTAAATAGAATGGCAGATCTAAGCGTTTTTTTAATTACAAGTGCAACATAAATGCATAGCTACTAGATGACAACACTCACAAACTTCGTACTTTACCTTGAAATCACTGTAACTGTAATTTACTGTAATTTGCAATAAATTTATATTGTATAATAATAGTTATATAATATTGGATAAGATTTTTACTTTTGTAATATTTATCGAGCTTTATCAATGTCAGTTTTCGAAATTATAATAAGACAAAAATGGGATTAATAAAAATTAAGAAACGATTCTTTGGTCACACGAGCTTCTTTCGTGTGGTAATCTAACCAATAATACTTAACAACGTTTGTGAGTGTCTGGTTAGTACTGCCCTCCCCTAACTACAGGCATCTTTTAAACAACATTAGTGCCTTTTAGTTTTGGGACGGCAGTGTAGCAAAGCGGGCTCACCAGATCCGATCCTGTATAGATCAAACTGACCGTCGTAGATGTTTGCGGGACAGGCCAATGGGTCGTCATCTCCCCAGTCAGTACACGTCTGTGCTTCCTGGTGAAACAAAGTGCCAGGTGGGCAGAAAAATCTGAAGTCTCGAATGCCACCCCCAGCAACGCGAACGCACACGTGGAATGCCTTGCAGCCAGATTTTGCGTCTGCATAGTAAGCACCTAGGATGCGTCCTTTACAGTTGAATCGCACGGATCCCCCTGTATGTCATAAAATAAAATGTTAAAATTTTATTTCAAATAAATAACAAATGTCTTTTTTGAGCTTTTAAAATAGAAAATGACTGACGATTGCTGAGTGGAAGGGATCTTAAAGTCTTTTTATTGAGGCGTTTATTGTATCTTAGCAGTGTTACGAGTATTAACACTGACTTGCCCGCGTATAGACAAAATCATAACTTATGATGACACACTAGGTATTGTGCTCCTAAATTTATACTCATATTCATGTTTTATGGGTATTTAGACATCGGTAACCACTTACCATGAGACCAGCAATAAAAGCAAATAGTAGATACTGATATATTTACAGACTGTAATCTAACAATGACCTTATCATTGTAACTAAGGTCATCTCAAGACCGTTTTCAAGTTCATTCTAACAAAGTTAAGATCGAGCTTTAAGATTTTGTTCACGCAAAAATCCTTATTTTTGTTTTAATTTTATGAACTATGCTCATTCGTTTCTTACTGTTCAAAATTTCAAATATCTGAACTTCTGATTTATTGGCAATGTATTATTTCTACACAACAATGAAATCAATTTATCAACACAATGAGTTTTAAGGTACTTTTCTGGCAATTATAGCGTGCCAGTGCCATGCAAAGACATTAAATAAAATCAAAATAATTAATTATGTCAAGCAAAGTAAAAAAACATTATTAGGTTAATATAAATAATTAAATAAGATGTCATAGGGCAGAAAAACATAATAATAGTTACAAGCGTAGTAAATTATGGAATAAAAATAGAAAATCCAAATTATAATTTTTGTTGAATACAAATTCTTATTTTTGAAAAAATGAAATCTTGAGTTTTGAGATGGATGTTAGCAAATGGCAGCAGCAAACCAAACCATAGTCTCTTGTGTCACAGATGTGCCAAGTTTTGTACATATTACAAATCTATTGGGGTAAATTTGTCACTTTTCGCCTAAAAGCATAAAAATTGCAACTGTGAACTGAATACAGGAAAACCATAATCCTTTTGTCTTTTGTAAGCTTAATATCATCAATTCAGTATTGCTTCTCTGGACATCTTAAGTTTAAAACTGCAGCATTTTTTGACGTTTGTAGTACCAAAAATGTGAAGGTTTCACTTACATCTTATTATATAACGAAACTATAAATCACACGGTTAATAATTTGAATTATTTTATAACATTATTTCATTGTTAGTTTAAAATTACCCTACAGATATGTAATATGGTGAACGGTTTTTTAGTCTAACAACCAAAATAGCTTTACTAATTCCCTTCTCAACCAAATTGGATGCAATAAAATTACGAATAGGTAATAATTAAATAAAAAATAACTGCTTATTTTAGTAGATTGTTTGTTGATAGTAAGTAATGGCCGTGTTCACAATCCTTTGACTTTGGGCCAAGTTTGATGGCATGATAGGGTATTTCTCATCGTCCAAGGCAACTATTGTACAAATTGTAAATAACTACTTGAAGTAAACATGCAGCAACTCGACGGAGTGTTGGCAAAAGGCAGTTAATGAGACGAGTTCGTTGCATCATATAACTAGTATCACGAACCATGTTGCTAATCCTCGTGAATGTTGAATATACTCATAAACGTAGATGTACCTACATCTCAAAAAGAGCACTGACATGGGACCTAGTTCTGCTAATTATTTACATATTACTAGACAAGGTCTCTGGAAAAGTATACTTTTAACACTGTTAAACATACGCCGATTTGGTCACAAATCACAAAATAAGATCTCAAAGTTAACACTTAAAAATGTAATCTGGCTATTAGATTTGAATGGTTATATTCCAAATGTGAAGCGTGATGTGTTTAATTAACGTTTAAGTTTACGAGTATGCATGTAAAATACTTGTCAAATACAGGGTCTACCACTTAGCTTCGTGTTCACGAACATTTTGTTTCATATGTATAATAAAAACTTTGGTGTTACATTTTTTCGTCTTGCAGAAACTCTTTTAGAATTGTAATTGGTAGCCATACAGTACACATTGTAAGTTCTTATTATCAAAGAGGCCTTTATGAGTAGCATTACACATAACACCCCAACAATCAAAACTTAGATTATGTAAAAAAGAATATAAATAATTCTTTCAAGAGAATTACATTTTAATTAAAAGGTTGACTTTTTAATTATAGTATACCTAGGTCAAAAATTTTATTTACTTAGTTGTAATTGTTCATTCTTTGGTCTCCTGTAATTGAAAGAGATATAATTTTAGTATTATTATCACATATTATTGTACACATAACAAATACCAGTATAAAATGTAATTTTGACATTTTGTGCACATATTTTGTTGGAGATCTTTAAATAAATAAATAAATCTTATAAGCCGTTCAAGAGTTCTAATATTTCTAACACAATGTAGCCTAATTCTTTTTAGAGAACTTGATGCAGTTTATTACGTGCATGCCATTGTTATTCAATTAGTGCTATTAAATTTCCGCATTTAAAAAAAATAATTACAAGTTTAAGTTCCAAGTCGTTCCACTACATGCAGTTGTACGATTACATACACGGCTTCTTTCACTTCCTTCTATCCATTCTATGGTTAGGAAGTAGTCTAGCCAAGTCACCAATATTAAACGAGTAACAAGTTTATTTAAAAAAAAAACTTGTAACGAAACGTAATTTAAAAAAAAACCCGCTATGTTTGAATGTGTTGTCACTTTGTAAGCCGCTAAACGAAACTTTGTGATGTGTTTTATTTTCCTACTTAAAAATTAAATGAAGAGTCCACTATGACGTGACACAATGAATTTAATGATCAACAACAATATTATAGTCAACTATAGAGAGTAATATAAAGTAAATGAAAGTTTACTTTAATTGCCAATTTCAGAAAAGTTATCGTGGTGTTTTTGTATTTTTCTTAATCTATCGTATCGTATATGTAAAATTGACATCAAGTATCAGATAATCGAATCAATTATACCCACACTAATTTAACGTGCGACGCGTGTATGGGTAGTTAGAATTCATTTTAGAAATAAAATATGTGAAATGATATGTAAATAATGCCATAGTATTTTTTAACCCTATCCCAGAATATCAAATTGTTGTCTGTTGTGGAACCTTCCACATTCACCACAGTAATCACGGTGTGAGGAATTGTTCAGAGTTGAGCTCGTAAACCTCGTTTGTTTAATGAGCAATGCCACAGCTGATCTAAAACGCACTACTTTTGTAAGCATCATCTGTCTGATAAAAGATACTGCATGAGACGATATAGAGTGAGTGTCGCCGCGGTAAAACTTAGGCTAAATGTAGTATAATGTGTCCTATTCCTATCAAAGTTTCACCTAAGTCAGTTGTATCCAAAATATGAAAAAAGGCCAACATAGACAATTCACGACCTTGTGAGTAAAATCTCATACCATAATAAATCGCATACCTTATATAATGTATGTTAGGTATACCTTAGGATATCACTATTACTGCGATTCAGTTCCGATTTACACATCTAATCAACATCCGATTTATACAACTAAAACCCATAACATTAAAACTAGATACAAAACTCACTTAAATAATGGTTTCTCTCCATTTATAGATACACCCACACTGATTACTTATATAAAATAGTGAAAAGCTTATGTGATTTACTAAATTGATATCTACGTCGAATTTATATTACACGATATAAGTGTTTTTTTTTATTTGTGTAAGCTACATTTGCAAAGTGTCTCTCCATATATAGATTTATGTTCGTGGTAATTTTTATTCATCAAAGAAACGTGTTGTATGTGGCAAACAGTTTCAATCGCAAACAGTTATGTATTACTTTTTTGAAGCGTTTTTGATCGTGGTAAAAGTGTTTTCCTATGCCATGGGAACAGTACTATCTTTCTGTATGGAAGATGATTTACATCATGATACGTTGGGTATTTAAGGCGCAACAGACAAACACAACTATAGTTAGGAAAGGTTAGGAATATAGTGAGAAACATTATTTGGTGAAACACTTGCATGAGCCCAATGGTTAATATTTATCATACCTGAATTTGAATAAGACTTGACTTTTCAATTGGAACCTTTGAAAGTCTTGAGCGTACTTTTCTAGAATTTAATAGGAAACATGATTTATAGATAAATCAGTAGCGGTTTCCCTCGCATTAAGATTACTGTTCCGCTCCAATAGCTCCCAGTATAGTTTTGAACCATAAACCATAATGGTAAAAGACCATAATGTATGTAGGTAGTGAAAATGATCTTAATCAGTGGACAACTTACAGTCACTATGTTCAAGATAGTTTAGTTTATTTAATCCTAACTAATTTTAGAAATGCAAATATCAATATATTTGTAACGCTTACACCACATAATCTTGCACAAAAAACGTCAGGATTTTATTAGACAACATAGCTCACTTTAATAATACAGATCGTCTAAATCTAATCGAAATCATCGTTAAGTATGCGTTAATTAAATTGCCTTGAATTGCCACTGGCAGAAGCTAGTTCGTTATAAAGAAAAACAAGTAGCTAGAAAGCTTTTATCGATATGTCTTCGCTTTTTTGTTTTGAATTTTTGATAAATACTATCCAGCATGATAAAGTTAAATGTTAAATATACCCTTGAGAACAACGAGTTGGGGTCGGATTGTTATTGACTACCTTCAAGAGATTGATCTCAACCCAATCGAGCATGGGTTCGAGAGCTGAAAACTGAGATTTATTGAGAATTATTTTATATTATAGACGAGTTGGACTTTTAAATTAATTGGATTAGTAATTGGATTTCTCAATATCGTATAAAAAACTTAATATAAAGCACACCATACCGGCACAGTAATAATTTAGCAACGCGTGGAGATAACACAAACAACTAAATTTGACGAAAATTTTAGTTGTAAAAAATATGCTCGTTTTATTTCGAGGTAACTTTTGTAGACCTTTAGTAAAATTATATGAATAAGTAAAACAGTGATAAAAAAATAACTTTAAGGAGTATTAAAACAATTTATTTCAATGAGCATTTA